CTATCTGCACCACGATGCCACTGACGTTACTGACCCCCACGAGACAAATACGATCCCCTGTCGAGGATTTCCTCGACCGATATTCACACTGATGTGAAGTGAGGTGAGCCGCTCCTACGCGGCCAAAAAAGCCAAAGCGCGCCTCGTCGTGAGGGTTCGAACTTTGGCTCCAGATGGGGAATGCCCTTGTCTGTCCGTCGCTATCCACGTTTTCCTCCATTTAATTGAATTAACCACACATTGCTTGACTCAAATCTGATGCCTACAACCGGGAACTCAAGCGGACATTCGAATCTTTTCAATGATTTCTTCACAGGTTACATCACAAGAATCTGGCACAGGAACGCGGTGCATGGCTTGAGTATCCTTGGGCTCGACAGCGATGGGGGATGACTTTCTTGCAAGACAGTGAGGGCAACGAACAAAGGTCTGCTTCTGCTTCTATTATATAAACAGTTAGCTTACGGTTGGTTTGTTGGTGTGTCTGTCTGCGTAGAATTACAGGGTTTTCCGCCCCTATTCGTAAACTTGGCAGCTAATTTCGTGAACTTTTCCGCTATTTCGTAAACGTTGCAACCAATTTCGTCATCTAAACCCTAATTCGTCATTCTTGCAAGCAATTTCGTAAACCTTGCAATCAATTTCGGCAAAAAAATTTCGCTGAAACTTATCCTACAGGGGTTATCGAGGCCTGATCACGAATGTGACATCCATTTTTGGCGCTGGCGCCAGATTGGCGCCATTTAGCACCGGTTTCGCCACGACTCATTCCCAGCGAAATTTTTATTTGAACCGAAATTAATTGCAAGGTCTAGGAAATTGCTTGCAAGAATGACGTAGCAACGTTCACGAAACTGGCTGCAACGTTTACGAATTGGAATGGAAAACCTTGTCAGTAGAAATGTAGCTCACGAAATTACAACCCCTTACAAAACAGAGAAGCTCACAGATCTCGCGGTATCATACATTCGTGATGGCATGGTTGTGGAGTGCTCCAACTGCTATACGGCCAATATTAGCTTTGGCGCGGCATTTTAGGCACCTTCTCACCTTCGACCAAAAGGCATGTGCGTGGCGTATCGCACAGAAGGAGCTGTGACAAGTACTCTGACTAATTTTGTTACTAGAAAGACAATGAAAAAATGAAAACGTTTTGGAAAGCCGAAAGGGTATTGTCCTAAGCGAACACTATGTTTGGCTTCCTTCTAAGTCTTTTATGTGAGGAGATATTGGCGTCGAGGGTCTATCAAGGATGATTCTTGGCCACCTCAAAAAGCCGCTTCCCTTCTTCACCATTGAAAGTATAATTCGTTGGCAACGCTCGAAAATGTGTCTAGAATACATTCCAATTGTCTAGAATAAATTCCAACCCCCCCTACATAACGGATTTTGTTGTGTTATTAGGCTCCATGCACTCGAAGTTGCAGAATCGATTGAAAGGTGTTCTATGATCAATGACAGTTGACAAAAGCTGCATTGTAGCAAACACATTTCGTAACTCCTATAACCTAACGAACTTCATTTGCTCAGAGACTTTCCTCCACGGTTGTCGTTTTTGCGACAGCGTTCCCTAGCAACAGTTACATTCTCAACGAGGTATTGTGGGTGAGGTAGCGGGCGGTAGATGGAGGATGAAATCTTTTTTCTCATATCCTTGTTTTCTGCTGCGCCACAGTCTCCGTCCTATCTGCACCACGAACACTGACGTACTGACCCTAACGAGTAACCCCGACCCCGTGACAAATTACGCCCTTCGAGGATCCTCGACCGATATTTTCACACTGATGTAAAGTGAGGTGAGCCGCTCCTACGCGGCCAAAAAAGCCAAAGCGCGCCTCGTCGTGAGTGTTCGAGCTTTGGCTCCATATAGGGAATGCCCTTGTCTGTCTGTCGCTATCCACGTTTTCCTCCATTTAATTGAATTAACCACACTTTGCTTGACTCAAATCTGATGCCTACAACCGGGAAACTCAAGCGGACATTTCGAATCTTTCCAATGATTTCTTCACAGGTTACATCACAAGAATCTGGCACAGGAACGCAGTGCATGGCTTGAGTATCCTTGGGCTCGACAGCGATGGAGGATGACTTTCTTGCAAGACAGTGAGGGCAACGAACAAAGGTCTGCTTCTTTTATTTATATAAACATCAGCTTACGGCATGTTTGTTGGTGTGTCGGTCTGCGTAGAATTACAGGTTTTCCACCCCAATTCACAAACCTTGCCTGCCTAATTGGCGGTAAATTCCGCTATTTTGTAAAACGTTTCAACCAATTGTGATCAAACCTAATTCGTCATCTTTGCTAGCAGTGGTAAACCTTGCAAATCAATTTCTGCGCAGAAAAATGTCGCTTGAAACCTATCCTTACTAGATTTGTTTTGTCTGAAAAACGAGAGGTTGCGGGTTTATCGCCGCCTGGCAGCGCGAAGTTTTGTTTACAATAACCGAGCATTTTGTGAAAAGTTATCATTACCAGGGTTATCGAGCAGCCTGATCACGAATATGACATTCGTTTTTAGCGCTGGCGCCAGATTGGAGCCATTTAGCACCGGTTTCGCCACGACTCATTCCTAGCGAAATTTTTATTTGAACCGAAATTAATTGCAAGGTCTAGAAATTAGCTTGCAAGAATGACGTAGCAACGTTCACGAATGGCTGCAACGTTTACGAATTGGAATGGAAAACCTTGTCAGTAGAAATGTAGCTGAAGAATTACAACCCCTTCAAAACAGAGAAGCTCACAGATCCGCGGTATCATACATTCGTGATGGCATGGTTGTGTAGTGCTCCAACTGCTATACGGCCATATTTAGCTTTGGCGCGGCATGAGGCACCTTTCTCACCTTCGACCGCAAGGAGTTGCAGCAGAGTCAACCCTGCGTTGCGCAGTTCGCAACGGCACGTTGAGAGATCCTCAACGCACGCTGTATGGGCGGAGACACAGACGGCTCGAGCATGCGAGTGTGAATGTTCGCGCGAGAGAACGTGTCTAATCGGGCTCTCCCCGTTGTGGCAACTGCGCAACGTAGCAAGTGGCAGAACTTCGCAACTATGGTTGCCTCTGGGGGTCGTGTAGTATCGCATCAGAAGAAGCTTTTTGGGCAGAATACCTCAACTTGACTCACACAACGGAAAGCTGTTCAAAGAATGTCTCAGACGAAAATAAATAATCGCTGGGCAAGGCCATAGGGATATGGAAACGGATTGATAACTTTCTAAAATTAATAAATTACACAGAAGGTATATTTTTGAGAGAGTTACTCCTCAGACGTGTTTGTTATTTAATAAACTTATCTCGTAGTTTTGAAAACTTACCTTCCCTCATAAAAAATACCTTTGAAAGAAGTTGTAATCATTACTGAGTACCGCTCATTTGCATTTTGAGCAAAGTACTCACCCAAAGAGCCCAGCATATTGTTGTATGCTCCCCTTTCAAAAACGAGGAAACGTCGGGTGCAGACCACACACCACAAGTGATGACGGCCTCCACAAAATGTAAATGTTTCTGCCAATGAAATGATTAGCCTGTTGCAGTTGTATTCTATCAGTTGTCACTAATTACAACTATCATTTGCCAAAAATCAGCTTACGACCCCATGAACCGCTACTAACCAGGAGATCTATCCTAACCCAGGGGACGCTTTCCTCTGATCTGATCCCATGGTTGGGGAAGACAAGGTTGCGGCAGACGACCCACCGTACTCTAGCGTGTAGTTCAGAGAGGATTTACTGGGAGGCCGTCGTCACTTGTGGTGTTTGGTCTGCACCGCTGCTCTTCTCGTTTTTTAGAGGGAGGGAGCATCGTTTAGCTAGTCGGAGGACAGATTTATAGTCAACGTTCGCATTGGACCGAATCCCTCTAATAGGTCGTTTCGACCCGATCCTGGGAGATTATGGACTTAATGCTAGGATGCGTTATTTCTAACAGGGGCAATCTTCCCGTTCATCTGGATTTTTTTTATATAAATTATACCATGCAACAAAAAGCAACGCGACCGCATCACTCCTTATCCTCTAGTTCTTCGTAATCACCTTGGCGCAAGTTATGAACGAAGCTGACTAAGCCCGTTCCCCTTTGCCAACGTGGTCGAGTGTGCGCTTCATTTTCCCCATTTAAGTCGGGAGCCAATGTGGCCCAGAGGGGAACCCTGAAAAGGGCCTCTCGGACTAAGTCTAACTCAGGCAGGCTACGAACTCGGAGAATACGAAAACTGCTTCCGTATACCGGAGTTTCTCCCCTCCCCAATGGCTTGGTCCTGAAACTGATCTTTTCCGTGATCTTGACGCGATGTTCCGTGGTGGCCAGTCGCATTGCGCCCAGTGGGGTTACCTTTGGAGTGTGCGGAGCTATTTGGAATAAGGAAACAAAACGAAAACTGTAACACCCCCCCCCCCTATCAACGCTAAGAAAAACAAGAACGCAATGCGGTGAACGAATGCCTCGCGTTTATCCGCGTTTGAAATTTGCGCGACTTTTGCGATTGCCGAGACCACGCCCACTTTTCTGCGCCCCAATTTCGATTCCGTTCGCCGCAGCGCGTGAAACGACATCGTACGCTTCAGTTGCAGTTCTCTATTGTTTCCTATGAATCACTTTGTTGTTTGTGCTAAATTTTCTAATTTTAATAGGAAAGATCTTTAGAAGAGATCCTGCCGAAAGAACTCCTTCTTCAGAGCGTTTCTGCGCCGAGAAATGACAGAGCCGTTGTTTGAAAGGATTCTGGGGAAGCCTGATGTTTTTTACCGACATCAGCAAAGTGATGATCCCGATCTCACAGAAGGTGATAAACGCCGTATTCTCGATGATCTCATGACCACCAACAAGGCTTTGTTTTTACAAAGGTGTGTTGGTTTTTAATCATTTCTCAGCAATATGAGACTGCTTTTTTTTCTTGTCAAACATAAGGGGAGTGTTATTTTCAGATTACAGGTATGCAAGTACATGAACGCAAGTGACTGCGCATTATTCGCGCGATGAAAGCGACCCACTCATTCAATTTATGGTTGCTCAGATTGAAAAACGGAAGCCTGACGCTCAAAATGCGAGTGGTTTTGTTTTCTGCACTTTTTCGTTTTCTTCTTAACTAGTCACTACCTTTGTCAAGTGTCATAAAGTATGAGTTTGCAGATGAAGAAGCGGCGTTTTCTGATGCTGCAAAAATTGAAAGAAGAGGGAAAATATTTCTCGGAGGAGAAGATGAGAGAACGTGAGCCGTACCTCTATGATGTTATGGTGGGGAAATTCACTGACGCAAAAGGTTGGTGCTGTTTTTGGTTTTCTAGGGAAAATCCGGCAGCTGTTATATTATTTGAAAACAAAAATTCCCTACCTAAATAAGCGGTAGACTACTTGAAGTGGTCCGTCTCAATCTGATGCTTGGTTCGTGCGCTCTGCGGGCTTCATGGGACCCGTTGATTCTCACACATCTTTTTCCACACGTAAGCTTCGATCATCCACCGACATTGTTTGGGCAGAGTCGGATGCAAGGAGTAAACCACTCCGAAGAAGATACTTAAAAAACAGGATTTATGCAAGCTGTCTGGTGTGACTTTTGGGAGTTGAGTCACTCTTAAAGGATACTCTTCTTAAAAGGTGTTCGTAGCCAACTTCAGTAGCATACATCTAAGGGCTTGAGGGAGTTCATGTGTCGCACCGTGTTTTTCATTTGTCTGAATTGAAGCACTATCAAATGGAGTGAAGTGAAGCGAGTGCAGCGTGCTCATGATGCTCGGGACGTTTTTGAAACTTTTTTATTCAAAGGATCAGCGTATTCCTAATTTACTAACGTTTTGGAAGACTGCAATGAAAGCCAGAGTCACATATAAATTGAAAGATGCCATAGCAGGAATCCATGATGTAGGATGTGTTTACTCTAGAAATTTTCTATTTGCTTTTTTTCTGCTTTTTTATCTAAAAAGACTTTCTTCAAAATAGATAGACTATGAAATGTGCATCAATCTTGAAAGGCAATAGCTAAATGCGAATGATTTCAAAGTGATCAGCTTGAATGGTCTGATCTTCTCGTAATCCTTATGTTTTCCTGAGCTTGGATTCTGTTGAAAAATCATGAAATCGCCTTGTTCGGTAGTTGTGTTGAAAATTTTTCCAATTTCATGGAATAACCCAATTTCAAGTGTGGTGCTTTATAATCACAGTTTTCATATTTGTACAGATCAGTTGAATCTTCGCCCTTCTGTATCTCGTGAAGAATGTCCAGAGGGAGGATGGGCCAGTATGCTTTGCCAGTTTGAATCTTCTAGAGAAATTGCGCAACGGCGAAATGAGCACCACACAGAGTGGCACAGAGACAGTGGGGTGAGGTTTTGTCATTTTGTTAATTAAAAGTAGCTTTTGATGTTGTTTTCTTCGTAAGGGATACTAAAAGACTTTTTGCAGCAATCGCTCAGAGCGGAACATCTTTCTCGAATGGAGGCCCACGTTAGCAACATGCTGTCTTCGCAAGGAAGACAGTTGGAAGAAGAAGAAAGGAGTAATAGGAAGGCTGGCAGAACCGGTTTGGTGATGAAATTCGAGAGAGTTGAATCGTATGAGTCAAGAAGTGCGTTATGTCCATTTCCGGCCGACGGACTACTTGAACTCATGCCTTTAACCCTTTGACGACCGCCGTTATGAATGCGTCACTTCACTTCTTTCTAAATTTTTTCATCAATAATCATTAACTCTCCAACAATTTCACTATTAGTAATTAGCGCATTATTCCGCGAATTCGATGATGTATTTGTGTAGTTTTGAAACATAAAAAATGCCAAAATAAAACCCTAAAAACGTGTCGCCACCGAGCGAAAGTGTGGCCCACCGGCGGGCCACACGGTCGTCAAAGGGTTAAAGGCTGAGTTCAAGTAGTCCGTCGGCCGGAAATGGACATAACGCACTTCTTG